CTGAGGTTGTGACTCAGCAGTAGAGCACTTGCCTAGCATGTGTGAGGCCCTGGGTTTGAGTCTCAGTACTGCATGTAAATAAAATAAAGGACCATTTACAAATAAAATAAATATATATTTTTTAAAAAGAAATCAATGATAAAATAAAAAATGAAAGTTACTTCAACACCTGGAGACTAAATAATATGCTGCTGAATGAACAATGGGTTGCAAAAGACATCAAAGAGGAGATTAAAAGATTCTTAGAGGTGAATGAGAACACAAGGGCAATGTACTGAAATCTCTGGGACAGTATGAAGGCAGTACTAAGAGGAAAGTTCATTGCATGGAGTTCATTCCTAAAAGAAGAAAAAGTCAACAAACAAATGACTTAGCATTATATCTCAAAGCCCTAGAAAAAGAAGAATAAATCAACACCAAAAGCAGTAGAAGAGAGGAAATAATCAAAATCACAATTGAAATCAATGAAATTGAAACAAAAGAAACAACTGAAAAAATTGACAAAAAAAAGTTGGCTCTTTGAAAAAATAAATAAAATTGATAAACCTTTAGCCATGCTAATGAAGAGAAGGAGAGAGAAAACTCAAATTACTAACATCCATGATGAAAAAGGAAATATCATCATGGACACTACAGAAATATAGAAGGTAATTAGAAATTATTTTGAAAACTTGTGTTTCAATAAAATAGAAAATATTGAAGGCATTGACAAATTTTAGAGTAATATTGAAGCAAGATTTGAGGATAGGTAGTTAGTGTAGTTAGGTAAATCGGGTCTAATATCTAGTAAGATAAATAAAATGGAGGCCATTATTGAGAATGGAGTCCAGGAAACCAGAGCAGCACTTGGGGAAATTGAAATGTTAATGTCCCCAAGGCCTGGAGCCCATCCTAAGGAACTGTTAATGAAACAGCTCCCAGCAAACAGGGAGGTGCTAATCAAAAGCCACCCCAGGCACTTCCTGCCCAGATTACTCCTTCAGCCCACCTATCTCCCACTTTTTGAGCCTACCCACCTGCATTCTATCACTTAAAGATAAAGGAAACAAAGGACAGGAGTGTGGGAAAGCTGAAAGAAGACCTTAGCTATAGAAAAGGGAAGACCTCCCCCTTCCACAGATTCCGCCTTTTGGGTCCTCTTCTTCCTCTGGGGAGAAGTCTTTTCTTCTGTCCTTTAATAAAGCTTCTACTTTCCACTCTATACTTGCCTCGGTGTGCTTCTCTGGTGTTATACTTTAGCATTTGGGGAAGCAAGGACTCGTCACTGGTAAATGGCAGTAACAATATATTTGCCCAAATTGAATCAGGATGATATATACAATTTAAAAAGATCAATTTCAAGTGATAAAATAGAAGACGCCATCAGAAGCCTACCAACCAAGAAACGCCTGGGACCAGAGGGATACACAGCTGAGTTCTACAAGACCTTTAAAGAAGAAATAATACCAATATTCTTCAATTTATCTCAGGGAATAGAAAAAGAGGGAGCACTTCCAAACTCATTCTATGAGGCCAATATCACCCTGATTCCAAAACCAGGCAAAGACACATCAATGAAAGAAAACTTCAGACCAATATCTCTAATGACAATAGATGCAAAAATTCTCAATAAAATTCTGGCAAATCGAATACAAAAACATATCAAAAAGATAGTGCACCATGATCAAGTGGAGTTCATCTTAGGGATGCAAAGTTGGTTCAACATACAGAAATCAATAAATGTAGTTCATTACATCAATAGACTTAAAGATAAGAACCATATGATCATCTCAATAGATGCAGAAAAAGCATTCAACAAAATACAGTACCCCTTCATGTTCAAAACACTAGAAAAACTATGGATAACAGGAACATATCTAAACATTGAAAAGCTATCTATGTTAAGCTCCAGGCCAACATCATTCTAAATGAAGACAAATTGAAAGCATTTCCTCTAAAAACTGGAAAAAGGCAGGGATGCCTTCTTTCATCATTGTTATTTAACATAGTTCTTGAAACACTGGCCAGAGCAATTAGACAAAAGAAATTAAAGAGATACACATAGGAAAAGAAAAATTCAAATTATCATTATTTGTTGATGATATGATTCTACACCTAGAAGACCCCAAAAAATTCCACCAGAAAACTGCTAGAACCAATAAATGAATTCAGCAAAGTAGAAGGATGCAAAATCAACACCCATAAATCAAAGGCATTTCTGTGTATCAGTGGCAAATCCTCAGAAAGAGAAACTAGGAAAACTACCTCATTTACAATAGCCTCAAAAAAAAAAATACTTGGGAATCAACTTAACAAAAGAGGTGAAAGATCGTTATGATGAAAACTGCAGCATGCTAAAGAAAGAAATTAAAGAAGACCTTAGAAGATAGAAAAATCTCCCTTATTCTTGGATAGGCAGAATTAATATTGTCAAAATGGCCATACTACCAAAAAAATTATACAGATTTTATGCAATTCCAATCAAAATCCCAATGACATTCCTCATAGAAATAGAAAAAGCAGTCATGAAATTCATCTTGAAAAATAAGAGACCAAGAATAGCTAAAGGAATCCTTAGCAGGAAGTGTCAAGTAGGTGATATCACTATACCAGACCTTAAACTATACTACAGAGCAATAGTAACAAAAACAGCGTTGTATTGGCACCAAAATAGGCTAGTAGCCAATGGTACAGAGAATTACCCACATAATTACAGTTATCTTATATTAGACAAAGGCACCAAAAGCATACATTGGAGAAAAGATAGCCTCTTCAACAAATGGTGCTGGGAAAACTGGAAATCCATATGTAACAAAATGAAATTAAACCCCTATCTCTCACCATTCACAAAATTCAACTCAAGGTGGATCAAGGACCTTGGAATTAAACCAGAGATCCTGCGTCTAATAGAAGAAAAAGTAGGCCCAAATCTTCATCATATTGGGTTAAGCCACTACTTCCTTAATAAGACTCCTATAGTGCAAGAATTAAAATGAAGAATTAATAAATGGGATGTATTCAAACTAAAAAGCTTTTTCTCAGCAAAAGAAACAATCAGTGAGGTGAATAGACAGCCTACAGCTTGGGAGCAAATTTTTATCACATGCACATCAGATAGATCACTAATTTTTACGGTATATAAAGAACTCAAAAAGCTAAACATAAAAAAATGAAATAACCCAGTCAATAAATGGGCCAAGGAACTGAACAGACATTTCTCGGAAGATGTTATACAATCAATCAACAAATATATGAAAAAATGTTCATCATCGCTAGCACTTAGAGGAATGCAAATCAAAAGTATTCTAAGATTTCATCTCATTCCAGTCAGAATGGCAGCAACAATAAGCGTTGGTGAGGATGTGGGGAAAAAGGCACACTTGTATATTGCTGGTGGGACTGCAAAATGGTACAGCCAATATGGAAAGCAGAATGGATATTCCTTGGAAAACTGGGAATGAAACCACCATTTGACCCAGCTATCTCACTCTTCAGTCTATACCCAAAGGACTTTAAAACAACATACTACAGAGAAACAGCCACATCAATGTTTATAGCAGTACAATTCACAACAGCTAAACTGTTGAACGAACTTAGATGTCTATCAGTAAATGAATGGATAAAGAAAATGTGGTATATATATATATATACACAATGGAATATTTCTTAGCAATAAAAACAAATTATGACATTTTCAGGTAAATGGAGTTGAAGAAAATAATGCTAAGTGAAGTTAGCCAACCCCCCAAAACCAAATGCTGAATGTTTTCTCTGATATAAGGAGGCTGATTCATAGTGGCATTGGGAGGGGGGGGCATGGGAAGATTAGATGAACTCTAGATAGGCAAAGGGGAGGAAGAATAAAGGAGGGACCAAGGGGTGTAAAAAAAATGGTGGAATGAGATGAACATCATCTAAATGCATCTATGAAGACATGAATTGTGTGAATATACTTTGTATACAACCAGAGATATGAAAAATCGTGCTCTACATGTGTAATATGAATTGTAATGCATTCTTCTGTCATATATAACAAATTAGAATAAAAATTATAAAAAAAGATTGGAGGATAGAAGTGATAAGGTTAACATGAATAATTATATCAAGATGGATCTGGGCTGAAGAGCAGAAAACTTGAATTAAAAGAAAATAATAATGAGAATGTCCATAAAGCATTTTAAAAATCTTCATGAATTTGTGACTTATCTCAAAAACATACATATATCTATACATATATATAGAGAGAGACATAGATTTACATATATGTATGTTATATTCTGAGTTTATCTGCATTTATATCTATATTTCTATGAATAAAGTTTACATTCTATACTTCTCTTTTACTGATATAAAATATAGTTGGGTCTTTTAATTTATTATATTTCTTGTACTTCTATGAATAGGGTAAAAGAAAGTGGCATCACGAAAAAAAAAAAGAAAAAGAAAAGAAGAGTCAACTCTGGAAAGGAAATTTTCTCCTTAATTCTTTTGAGAAGAGATAGTAAAGGTGGTAAGGAAGTTGAGCTCACTGCTCTGTTTAGTCACAATTCTTTTTTTTTTTCCCCTGTGGTGCTTGGGATTAAACCCAGGACCTCATGCATGCTTGTCAAGCACTCTACTATTGAGCCACATTGCCAGCCCACATCCTTTTTGGTGTGAATCACTTTATTGAAACACTTTCCTCTGTGACCTGGATTAAAAGGCAGTGAGACATAAATGGAGATGAGATAGAGAGGGATGAGGAGCCTTGGTGAAGTGTCTCAAGAGTAAACAGTTCTGCTAGTCCTGGAGAAAAATAAGCAGATTTTAGCCTCCTCAGAGGCCAAAATGAACCAAAGTATTAAGATCAAACTATTTACATTGTATTTCAATTTATTTTTCAACATTTCTTGTGACCCCCCCCCACAAATCGTTAATATGATAAAGTTGCTTTTATTAATAGTAAGAAAATGTTTGAGGACTTCCAAAATAACATTTTGCCCATGATCCCATTTGAAATATTTTTTAAACCATAAATTTACCTGGAAATAGTTCTCAAGTTCCTTTGAAAGCAACTGACAGAAAAAGCTTTTTTCAGTGGCTTCAATTAAGCGATCATGAAACACCCGGGTGGCTTCATGAACAAAGAGTAGAGCAAGCATTTCTTTGGAGTTAATAATAGTCCTGTCAGCTTGTAGAATTCCTAGGAGAAGCTATTAGAGATTCAAAAATAAAATTTTATAAAGACATTAGTGGGATAGTATTTGAAGACTCTGATTTTGCATGTTTATATTTCATAAAAATAGCAATTATCCAAGGTAAAAATTATCCGTTTCTACAATCGATAATCTGAATCTCTAATGAGACAAACATGTTATTAAGTCAAGGACAATAGGCACAGAATTGCCCTGAGTGGGAGGAGATTTAGGGAATCCTCAGCTACAACTAAGAGAAGGCTTGCTGGGATGAGCAACCACAAGTCTTAATTATGGTGCCAGCATGGAGGTGCAAGAGATGGGAGAAAAATGCTTTTAAATGTTGATGGGTTCAGCATTCTAAATGTAAGGACCATAATGTGGTAGTTATGGATGAAGTCCCATAGTAAGGGGAGAAAGCAAATTCAAGAATTGTTTTTTTTTCAAACATTGCAATTTTGAAAATTATTTAACCAAGGTAGATGACTAAACCAGCTTTGTTGCCAAAATCTGTGAAAATTTAAACATGTTTATGATATGCATATGTTTTGGGTAGTCACAATGAAATCTCAGAAATGAAGCAAGACCAAAATTTACATTGTAATCTTTTCTTTTCCTGCTGAGAATCTCAGGCAATATTCTAACAGTTTCAGTGGTCTCATTATTGAACTCTCTTCTTGGGATTATTAGAAAATTTATTTTCATCTTATTCATTGGATGAACTGCTAATATATAGAAAAACCAAACAACATGAATTTTGCTTTTATTGACAATACCAACAAGAAAGGAGAGATCAGGAGAGGGGGAGAGATTCAGTTTAGTAAAATTACATCTCCTCAACTTAAAATTTAAAAATAAGCTGTAGAACTAATATTAAAACACACCTTAAACACGTCTCGAAGATTAAACATGTAGTGGCATTTTGTTGGAGTTGGTAACATACATTTACACACTTGGTAGTACATAGTGAGGGAACAAGATATTATCTGATCCTTATATTTCCGAACATCAGGTGAGAAGTTATTGATGAAGAAATACATTGCCAAATGAGCCTTTAAAAAGAAGTTTTATAATTTAGTTTTCCAAATATTTTAAGTATAGACTATTTCTGGCTAAACTCTACTAAGAAGCCTACTCAATGGAAGATTAATTTCTTTAGAAATGTTAAAAATTCCCAGTTGGTCCTACTTTGGTGCTTGGTGTAGAAGCATGTCGAATGTGTCCTCTGGAGACAATTTGTGCTCCACCTCTGTGTACATCAGGTGTGCTGACAATTATTCCATTTCCTTGTGCCCCAGTAGATGCTACTAAAGGAAATGTAACATGATAGAACTATTATGTTAGTTTGGATTGGTATACATGTATGCTTTCTTCTGGGAATTCTGAAATATCTTACTGGAAAAATGGCTGAACTTGAAATCTAATTTGATAGGAAAATAAATTTTATGCAAGATTATTACATTCTTTAAAATTCATCTTGTATTTTCCTTTACAATATAAAATTTAAAGATAAAATTTTACATCAGTTTTTCAAAAAGTCCCTGGTAATACTGCTGCAGGGATCAATAGCCCACAAATGGGGTAAAGGTTCTTGTAAACAAGAAAGTATACATGTACACCAATCCAGACTGACATAATAGATCTTTTGATGTTTTTTTGTTCTACAATAAAATGAGGGACTAGGGTGTTTCAGTGGTGGAACTCATGCTTAGTATGCACAAGATCCTAGGTTCAATTCCTAGCACACATATGTGTGTGCATGTGTGTGTGTGTGTGTAGGTGTGTGCATGCATACACAAAGAGCAAAATTCTATCCTGTATATACAGGATCAGCATCTCAGAGAATAAAGTCCTGTGATCTCTGGGTTTCTTATACACACTGAATTATATTTTTGATATTTACAGACATTATAACAATAGACTAGAAAATAGAGGGGGAAATAAAATCTATTTAAAGTGGTTTTAAGTTCTCACAAATGTTTCTTACACCATGAAATTAATATTTTTCATTAGAAAATGAACTGGATGTGTTACCTGGAAAATAGTCCGCAGGGCACTCTTTGGAGGATGAGGCAAAACCAGGATGGAAAAGTGCTTGAGGAGACGTGGGCTAATGTTGTTTTTACCGATTGGAGGAACACAGGCTGCAACTATAGCATGATCTTCAATATTCTGAAAGAGTGAAAGAAGAATAGTAACTAAATGCATCTGTAGGAAGTTAAATAAATACTTTCCTGTCCCAAATGAACAAAAGATTTTAAAAATATTTGGGTGAAAATATTAAGACTACTATATACTGCAAAACAAAAATTGCAATAGAAATTTATGTTCTTAGAAGTTACCTATTCTAAAGTGTAATTTCATGATGTTACTTCTTGCAGGCTTTCTAAAGTCATCAGGAATATCTCTCCCCTCCCTGTAAAGCAACTACTAGAAATTATGAAACTCCTAAAAAAAAACTAGGGCAATGTTTTATGCATAACATTATCTTGGACAAGGATTTTGGGGTTAAGACTTCAAAACCCCAAGCAACAAAAGCAAAATAAACAAATGAATTTGAAGCAAATGGAAAAGTTTCTGCACAGAAAAACAATTAGTCAGTGGAATTAAGAAACAACCTATAGAACGGGAGAAAATATTTACAAACTATGTCTCTGACAAGGGATTAATATCCAGGATATATAAGGAACATCTCAGTGGCAAAAATTCCCAAATAATCCAAGTTAAGAAGTGGACAAGAAGTTCAACAAATGAAAATACACCACACATCACTGATCACCAGGGATATGCAAATGAAAGCCATAGTGCAACATCATTTTACTCTGGTTAGAATGCATATTACAAAAAAAAGATTAAAAAAAAGCAAATGTTGGTAAGGTTGTGGAGAAAGGAGTACTCTCATATGCTATTGTGAGGCTATAAATTAATGCAGATATCATGGAAAGCAGTATGAAAGTTCCTTAAATATTAGACCCAGTTATCCCACTCCTCATCATATACCCAAAGGATTTAAAATTAGCATACTATGGTGATACAGCCACATCAATGTTTATAGTAGTACAATTTACAATAGCTAAGCTATGGAATCAGCCTGTATGTCCAACAGATGAATGGCCAAAGAAATTGTGGTATATATACACAATGGAATATTACTCAGCCACAAAGAATGACTTTATGACTTTTGCCAGTAAATAGATGGATCTAGATAATATCATGCTAAGTGAAATAAGCCAATCTCCTAAACCAAAGGTCAAATGTTTTTGCTGACATGTAGCAGCTAAATCATAATTAAACGGGTGGGGAGAGGAGAGAAATTCAGTAGATTAGACAAAAGAGGACAAAAGGAAAAAGGGGGGATTCGAATAGGAAAGATGGTAGAATAAATTTAGCATAATTTTCCTATATACTCATAAGAAAATATCTAAGTGAACCACACCATTGTGCCTGCCCATAAGAATAGGATCCTAAGTAAAATAAGATATAGTGCATGCTTTTATAATTTTATCAAAATTGATTCTACTGGCATATATAACTAAGAAGAACCAACAAAAAAATTTAAAATAGGGGCTGGGATTGTGGCTCAGTGGTAGAGTGCTTGCCTAGCATGTGTGAGGCCCTGGGTTTGATCCTCAGCACCACATAAAATTAAATAAATAAATAAAATAAAGATATTGTGTCCAACTACAATAAAACACAACTAAAAAATAAATATTTAAAAAAACTAAAAATAGAATTATTATATGTGTAAGCAATCCCACCATTGAGTATATATATTCAAAAGAAATTAAATCAGTATGTCAAAAGTGTATCTGTGCTCCTGTGTTCATCACAGCACTATTCACAATAGCAACAATATGCAATAACTCAAGTGCCCATCCATGGATAAATGGGTGAAGAAAATATGGTGTATATACACAATGAGATAGTATTCAGTCTTAAAAAAAAGAAAATTTTGTTATTTATTACAAATGGATGAAACTGGATAACATTATGCTATGTTAAATAATCCTAACACAGAAAGACAAATACTGCTGCATGATCTTACTCATTTGTGGCATCTAAAAAAGGTGATCTCACAGAAGACTGGAGGGTTGCAGGGAGCAGGAAATGAGAAGAGAATGGATAGCAGGTAAAAAGTTATAGAAAGTAGGAATAAGTTCTGATGCTCTGTTATACAGGTCACTATAGTTAGCAATAATATAATGTATATTTTGAAATTGTTAGAAGAGAGAATTTTGAATGTTTTTACCACAAATGATAAATGTTTGAGTTGATGGATGTAATTATTACACATTGTATAAATGTATTAAAACAACCCACTGTGACCCATAAATATATGCAATTATTACATGTGAATTAAAAATGATAAACAATCATTAGAAAATAGCAGTGTGTTTTTGAGATTAGCAAAGAGGATTTTGGTGATAAGTGAGAAATCAGAAGATCCAGTTGAGTTGTGTCTTCAGCATGATCAGATTGACTTGGAGTGAAAAGATGCTTAGCTGTTAACATAATAACGGCCATTTGACATGTTCTTACAATATCACAGCACTGTAAAGCTGGGTGAAATGTTGAAAAGAATCTAAGTAGAGTCTCTGAAACACATGGACCTATTCTAAATTGCAAAGATGTAATTGACATGATTAATTTAGGCTCTTAGCCTCTTTTAACATGTCCATATGGCTAGACTGTCTAGATTTCTCACTTAATTTACTTCACACTGCTACAAATGTTTAATTTATTGTTAAATAACAATATTTAATGTGAACAAAATCTTAGAATATACTTTACCTTCCATACATTTCTTTTAGTATCATAAACCCCTCCCATGTCTAACAATTGTCTGATCAGTTCCAGTGGTGGCTGTGCTTCATACATATCAGATCCTGGAGTATTCATGTCATCAATAAATATTATAATCTTAAGGAAAACAAAATGTTTTAAAGCATATCAACTTGTAGTACCTTTGTTTAAAGTAAGAATTGGAAATATTAATTATGCTATGGAATAAGAACAAAATTATATATAATATCATGTCTATTTTTCTATTAAAATAGAATACCAAGTTCTATTTTTGAAGATAAGATCTTAGAAAACAGTAAGTTTTCAGAGTAATGAAAAATCTGCTCACCCTCTATGGACTTCTAATAATTATGTCTGATGATAGAAATATATTTGATGCTAATAATCTAATTGTGTAATTGTACAAAGGAACAGGCCTATTACTTATTAAGCATTTACTTATTGAGTGCATTTACTTATTATTGGCAAGGCACTATCATAGATGTCTAGCTATTTATTTCATATGTACTCTCATTTGGGAATAAGCCTATCACCTGGAACTAGACTTTTAAAATTCTCCTACAAATGCTGTTGTCAAGAACAACCAGCAGAATATTCAGACACAATTCCAACTTTTAAGCTTGTGTTACTTTCCATCTTTGAAAATATTATGTACTGAAATATACTGATTATAATCTCTGTGCATTAGGCCCTTTAGATTAACTAGTTAACTGTCTTTTTTGCAAGACAAGTAACTAGTTAAAAAATACAAACAGCTCTTTACTTTGAATTACCTAATTACCTAATTTGTAATGGTCAATATAATTTTTAGTAAGACACCCAGTTTCCCCTCTTTTGTATCACAAACTAAAATTTTCTTGCTTGCTAGTGGTGCAATTAGGTACTATTATCTAATCTAACTGGGCTATTATTAACCTTTTCAAAATCTCTAAAGTTTACCTATGAAGGCAAAGATCTATCAAGTTTATCTAAATCATCATTTAAAAACCAGGAAATCTGAAGCAAACCCTTAAAAGCTCTTGAAATTGATATCGTAGAAATTACCCCTTTGCTTATTTTATGGTATTGAATTGGAGTCAATGTAAATGTCTATTGTGACAGAGAATTTGGTTGAATAAATGGGCAGTTATAATTTGGATATGGAATATCCCCCCAAAGTTCATTGGTCCCTAATGAAGCAATTTCAGTAGTGGGGCTTTTCAGAAGTAATTGGATCATGAGGGCTTTAACATCATCAGTGGATTCATCTATTAATAAATTCATAATCTGAATGGATACTGGGAGGTGGTAGAACTTAGTTGGAGGGAGCAAGTCTTTGGGGGCATGTCCTGTTGGACTCTATCTTGTCCTGGACTCTTCTGCTGTCTCTGCTTCCCAGAGGTAAACAGCTTTCCTCTGCTCTACCCCTCTGCTCAGAAGGACTATGGACTAAAACCTCTGAAACTAAAACCTCTGAAACCATGGACTAAAACCTCTGAAACTAGGAGCCAAAATCAATCTTTCCTTCTAAGTTGTTTTCCCAGATTTAAATTTTTTTTTAATCCCAGTGATAAAAAGCTAACATACTTATCCAGGTAGACAGAGGGTAAGAAAAAGAAATGCTCAACACCATTTTAAGAAACAGACAGGTGAGCTCTGTGGTGCATGTCTATAATCCCAGATACTCAGGAGGTTGAGGCAGAAGGATCACAGGTTCAAGGCCAGCCTGGGCAACTTAGTAAGATACTATCTCACAATAAAAAAATAAAAAAGGTTGTGGATGTAGCTCAGTGACAGAGCACTTGCCTTGCATGTGTGAAGCCCTGGGTTTGATCCTCAGGAAAGAAAGAAAGAAAGGAAGGAAGGAAGGAAGGAAGAAGAAAGAGGGAGTTGTTACAAGGCTCTTCTCTTGTTACCACAAGGTTAGCGTCTAACCCATTTTCCAGTATTCTTATCTTTATTCAGATTTCAGTAGTTTCTTTTGGCCTTAGTAATCTCAATCAGTATAATTCTCTATGTTGGAAAATTGAATTATATTGATTTGAAAACCGGAGTTTCCATTATAAAGTGCATATTCTAGGAAAGTTCAGGAGCATGTTGTATAACAATCTTTTTACTAGTATTAATTAAAATAAATTAATTTATCATTTGAATAGCATAGCCAGATTATTTAACAGGGAGGGAGGGAAGTATTTTACCCTGCTGTTTTTAGGTGCTCCAAGAGTGTCTTTATTTTTTCTCACTAACTTTTTAAGAATCATCTCCTTCATTTTGGCAACTGTCATATTGGTGCTAAAATTTATTGCAGAAACTATAATTCCTTTATGACTTTCATCAGTTTTGTCATACAGCTTCTTAGTAGAATTATCTATCATGCAAAAAAAAAGAAAGACAAATTGAGAACACTTTAAGAATATTTTTGTTTTAGGCTGTTCAAACATTTGAAAATTATATAATTTTACTATTTTGTTGTCTTTTCCAAAAAACTATTCTGAGAGGAGGAACACCAATTTAGGAATGTTTCCTTACTTTTTCACAGTAAACAGTATCTCTCTAGAACCATAGTCAAATGTAACTTTATGAAAGCTCAGAGACCCTCTTCTCACTTATGCATGTTAGTAGACAGACAGAACTTCTTAAGATCTAAAAGCAGCATGCAGCTAGATCTAGCAAATATATAAAAATTGGCACACATTCTCTGAGGGAGGATCATCCAGAGGGTAATTTGGGATAGTACTATAGCAGCTTAAGAACAAAATGTCTTCTGGCAGGACCTGATGACATGGCTCCCTTTCATTTTCCATAGCTACCTCAGGATAGCCCCATTTTTTCTTCTTGAGAAGTGGAGTTGTTGCTCCATAAATTAGTAAATCAGAATTTTCAAAGATGAGGCTTCTGAAATTCCATGTATGTTTGTATCGCATGGCCTGATTTGAGAACTTATAGAATCATAATTTTCTATTGCACTATGTTTAAAACCATGAAAGTGTGTTCAGTTACTTCCAGATTTCATCTGAGTTCATTGACAAAGGAGGTAAATCTTCTCTACTGTCTCTCCTCTATCTTTTGAAGAGATTAGAACAATTTGAGAGAGTACTGGGTATTTTTTGAGGACTTTTTAATATTAAATTATCAATTTGAATTTTTCCTTCTGAGATTTCTAAAAGAAATGATTTACATACAGTTGAGATAGAGAACTTTTGAAACTGTATTAATACATACCATGTTTTCTACTTGATATCTTATGGGTTTCAGTAAACAAGACGCTGATGTTCTGCTTTAGGCTATTGAATCAAATGTTTTAAAGGTTCAAAATTAGTTTATTTACAATTATATCTATATTAACAAAAAATGAAATAACAACATGTGGCTGATTTTAGTTGTATATCCTCTATAAGAAAACAGTCCCCCTATCCTCCATCCCCATTCATATTTTTACAGATAAAATTAGTATCCACGTTGAAACTGAAACTCAAACTTAACATGGACTTACTTAAAATTGAACTGGGCAAATTCTTAGGATGCCAAGTTATTGGTGTTTTCTAAAGGTAGTAAGCCATTACCTCCCTTCTGTCTTTATAAAATGTTTGCCTTATGGATCATACAGTAAAAGACTTGTCTTTATTTTCATCTTGTATTTAGGTGTTTGATTTTATATGTTTGACAAAATAGTATGTCTTAATAAAGATCCAATTCACTATTAAGCGTACCTATTTTTTTTTTAGACTCTTATTCATGATATTTAGATCAGGAATAATTTCTATTGTATTAAATGCTTAAAAAAGTTATCTCTCTAAATTTTAAAGGTCTTCTTGAAGTGCAGTAAGAGTCTATTCTAAAATAATTAGTAGTGTAAGATGTAGATGATGGTGGCTTGGAAACAGGAGAATTAAAGCAATTTGTGACATGTGTAAAGACAGAAGATTCGAATAATAGGAGACCAAATGTGGGTAATGAGAATGGAGATACAATGATTGTAATTGATCAGAAGGAACTTTAAAGTTGGATAGGAAGAAACTCAAGGATGATTCCTAGGTGTTAAGCTTGAGTACCTAGTCTTTTCTGTTAAAGTAAAGAACAGTGGAGGAATATAGGTTTGGAAGAGAAATTAAGAGTTATGTTTTGGATTTGTGAAGGTTGAGATGTTTATGGGATATCCAAGTATGTACATGACATAGACAGCTGGCTACCTGACTTTCATGATCAGAGGAAAGGTCTTATGAACCTCTCCAAGATTTTGCCTTCTTATTCAATTCAAAAGCAATAGGCTTCTTTAATATTTTAACAGAACCAGAATTAACTTTAGAAATTTGCACTTTTTATTTGTATAATTCAGAGTTCCTTTTTCCTCTCCTTTTAGGAAGAGGCAGACAGAATACAGAGTGACAGAAATAAAACTTTTCTTTACAAAAGTCTTTTTGTATTTGTTAAGTAGCTCATATATTTCTAGTACAACAAAACAAATGTTATACAAAACTTTATTTGCATCTATTAGGCACATTTTTTCTAGGAGAAAAATTATTATTGCTATCTTTTATGCTATATAAAAATTGAGATTTTAGATTTATTTATATTTAAAGTATGTGTAAGAATTCCTTATTTAAAGGAATGAAACTAGTTGTTCATAATTTGAAGATTTTCCTTTAAGTAGAAAATCTCAGTAGACCAATAATAAGCAAGGAGATTGAGTCAGTAATAAGACTCCCATCAAAGAAAAGCCCAGACTTGGATATTTCAACATTGAATTCTACCATTATTTAAGGAGGAACTAATATAAATCCTTCTCAATCTCTACCAGAAAAGTCAAGAAGGAGGAATATTTTTAAACTCATTTTACAAGGCTAGCATTAACTTGATCTCAAGGCCAGAACATGATACTATAAAAAATTAGAGGTACTAACTCTGATGAACACATATGCAAAATCTTAATAAAACTAAATTCAACAGCACATTATAAAGACCATTCAACATGATCAAGTGGATTTATTCCTGGGAATGCAAGGATGGTTTGACACACACAAATTAACAAATGAAGGACAAAATTATATTATGGATGCAGAAAAAAACTCAAAACATTTCACAAAGTTCAATACTTTTTCATGATAAAAACTCCAGAGAATTAGGCATAGAAGGAGTGTATGTCAACACAATAAAGTCCACATGTGAAAAGCCCCCAATTAACATCAGTCTGAGTAGTGAAAAGCAGAAAGATGAGGATACCCATTCTTATCACTTCTTTCCAATATGGTACTGAAAGTCACAGAGAAATTAATCAAGATAAAATAAAGGCATCCAAATAGGAAAGGAAGAAGTAAAACTGTTTCTATTTGCTGATGACATACATTTTATGTAGAAAACCCTGAAAATCCACCATAAAACTGTTGGAATTGGTAAGTGAATTCAGTAAAGTTACAGGATACATAATCAAGACACTAAAATCATATTTCTATATTTCTATACATTAGCAGCAAACCATCTGAAAAAGATAAATAATCCAATATGTAATGTCATTAAGATAATTAGGAGTAATTATTCAACTAGAAGATGCAAAATCTATATACTGAAAACTTAAAAAAATTTTTCTGATGAGGAAAATTGAAGAAAATACAAATAAGTGGAAACATATTTTGTATTCATGGATTACAAGAATTAACATTGTTGGGCTGGGGTTGTAGCTCAGTAGTAGAGCACTTGCCTAGCATGTGTGAGGTCCTTGGTTCAATTCTCAATACTGTATATAAGTAAATAAAATAAAGGTCCATTGACAACTAAAAAATATTTAAAAAATTAACATTGTTAAAATGTCCACATTATCTAAAGTAATCTACAAATTCCAATGTCATGTTTCATTTTTCCTATGGAATTGCAAAAGACTCCAAATAGTCAAAGCAGTCTTGAGCAGAAAGAAAAAAGCTGGAGGCATCACATCATCTAATTTCAAAATATGCTATAAATGCATAGTGATCAAGCCAACATAATAGTAACATAAACACACACACAATGAGAAATGGAGCAAAGAGCCCATAAATAAGCTCAGACACTTATGGTGAATTGATTTTTGATAAAGATGCTAGAGACACATAATGGGGAGATGAGAGTCTCTTCAATAAATGGTATCATGAAAACTAGATATCCATACGCAGAAGTATAAAGTTGGACCATTATTCACAACTTATACAAAAATCAACTCAAAATGAACTAAAGACCTAAATGTCACATCTGAAACTATTAAAGTACTAGAAAAAAAAACTATAAAGAGTATTGGTCGGGGCAAAGATTTTTTATATAATGCCCAAAGCATAGCAACAAAAGCAATAGAAAAATGGGAATGCATCAAATTAAAATGCTTTTAGGGCTCAGGTGGGTTATGGCTCAGTGGTAGAGTGCTTTCTTAGCAGGTGTGAAGCACTGGGTTTGATCCTCAGCACCACATAAAAACAAATAAAATAAAGGTACTGTGTCCATCTACAACTAAAAAACATAATTAAAAAACATTAAAATGTCACCCTGATTCCAAAACCAGACAAAGACACCTAAAAGAAAGAAAACTTCAGACCAATATCTCTAATGAATATAGATGCAAAAATCCTCAATAAAATTCTGGAAAATTGGATACAAAAACATATAAAAAAGATCGTGTACCATGATCAAGTGGGATTCATCCCCAGGATGTAAGGTTGGTTCAACATATAGAAATCAATAAATGTAATTCATCACATCAATGGACTTAAAGATAAGAACCATATGATCATCTCGATAGATGCAGAAAAAGCATTTGACAAAATACATCACCCCAATATCTTCAAAACACTAGAAAAACTAGGGATAACAGGAACTTACCTCAACATTGTGAAAGCTCTCTATGCTAAGCCTCAGGCCAGCATCATTCTAAATGGAGAAAAACTGAAGGCATTCCCTTTAGAATCTGGAACAAGGCAGGGATGCCCTCTCTCACCACTTCTATTCAACATAGTTCTTGAAATACTGGCCAGAGCAATTAGACAAAAGAAATTAAAGGAATAACTATAGGAAAAGAAGAACTTAAACTAGCACTATTTGCTAATGATATAATTCTATACTAGAAGACCCAAAAAACTCTACCAAGAAACTTCTAGAACTAGTAAATAAATTCAGCAAAGTGGCAGGATATAAAATCAACACCTATAAAATATAAAATGGAACCACCATTTGACCCTGCTATTGCCCTTCTTGGACTATTCTCTGAAGACCTTAAAAGAGCATGCTACAGGGATACTGCCACATCGATGTTCATAGCAGCACAATTCATAATAGCTAGACTGTGGAACCAACCCAGATGACCTTCAATAGATGAATGGATAAAAAAAAATGTGTCATCTATACACAATAGAGTACTATGCAGCAATAAAAAATGACAAAATCAGAATTTGCAGGGAAATGGATGGCACTAGAGCAGATTATGCTTAGTGAAGCTAGCCAATCCCTAAAAAACAAATACCAAATGTCTTCTTTGATA